CCCCAAAACCCCAAAACCCCAAAACCCCATGTTGAGAATTGCTCTAAATTTAAAGAAGTTGGCAGAAATAAGATTTTCAACTAAATATTATCATAAATAAGAAAGCCTTTTAATTAGAGAGCAGTTGTGAACTTGCAAACTCATTTATATCAATCAAGACTAAAATCTCTGTTGGTGACTCACAAGCTTAATCTTTTGCTTGTCTATGGCTCTTGTGGTTTTCAGACCCTCACTTATCAGAACTGCTGAGTGGTCTGCCTCCTCATACTAACTTAAATGATCTCTGTAGTCGAATGTCCCACCTTATATCATATTTAGTGCATTGGAAGAATTAGGTCTCATTACTTGTTATGTTGATTTGAGTTTAGCCCTATCATGGCCTTGATCTATACTTGCTTTACTATAAAAATTGATGCTATTTTTAGCTGGCTAATGCTGATGCTATTACTAGGCATGGCTCAGTTGCTAGGCGCTGCTAGTCTTAAGCATTTTGTGAACTTAAGAAGCATATTACTTTTGCCCACTTCCATTTTTGTCATTCTATGTAAACTTATGTCTCGATGAGTTATTATGAGTGTCATGTTGAGAAGTAGACAAGACTGAAGCCTTTTTGAGGATGTTAGTTTGGCTTTGAGATTGATGGAGCGCTTTGGCACCTGTGACATTACCAGAGCCTGGTCTCTCAATCACCTAATTTTATCTTTGACTAGTAGAAGTTGTTGTGAACATTTTGAACAAGGATTGCTGAGAGCCACTTTATCCAAGGGATGGAGCTCCATTTAAGGCAGCCCCGCTTGAACTCTTCTTCAAAACCTAGTTGGCGATTTTTTGTTTTTTATCACTGTTAGCTTGATGGCCACTATTCACAAGACTCATAGAGTTCTAGGAATTCTTGATGTGAGTTTGATTTCTTGATTGATTAGTTGAGTAGAAAGGAGCTGACTTTCTTTTCTTAGTGGACGAGTTATTATTTACAGTCACTGAGTTATTATTAGTGCTACCCCCTTGGGTTGTTTTTCTATCAATGCTATTGCCGGTGCCAAAGATAGTGTTGGAGTTTTGCTAGGAGATTCCGTTGTTTCTGGTTCTTGTTTTATTTCCGGTAATAATCGATCCACTTCCCCCTCCGTTATGGTTTTTATCATGATGAATAGTCTTCTAAACATTTTCCTTGATAATTTCTTGTAATACTGACTCAGGCATAGTACCATCATACATTCTGCTTCGCTGGGTGGCATATCCACTGGGAATAAGCCCTCCAACAGGGTTAAGAAGACTATTCATCTCTTTCCCTAGAGAGTTGAAATGACCTAGTTTAGTCATTGATGGGGCGTGGGAATTACGTTTGCTCTCTCTAGCGCTATAGACTCTTGGAACTTGACGAATATTGTCGAAAACTTTTCTTAATACATATCTGTACACCCCATTCATTAGTTTGGGCATGACCTGCTCTTGGAATCTCTGCTTAGCAAATACATGCTTCCATGATTACAAGTATTAATACTTGATTTTGAAAGCTCTTTTGTTAAGTGATTGATCGATTTTGTTAAACTTAGAGAAGATTATCATTCCCTTTTATTTGAGCAAATTGTTCACCTTTGCTTCTCTGATCCAAGAACGGAAGTAATGATTCTTGATCTTTTGCATCTTACTGCGTAAGTTTCTCTAGATAAAAATATCAGCCATCTACTCTAGCTATTATGTTGATAACTTAGTAGTTGTATAGTTCAGTATTTGAATTTGATCATTATGAGGAGACGATGGTCTTTAGTGCTACATTGTTGCAAACATATTAATCTCTCTGTTACAAAGAGATCCATGATTTTATTGGATGATTGTTGATGAATCGTTTCTTAGTAATAAGGATTCTCTGACAGTGGAATTTCTAGATGATGATCCTTCTTTAGTTTGGAAATTCACGCTCTAGCGCTTTAATTTTACTTGCATTTAACTAGAGGACTTCTTCAGTTCGAATGGTTCTGCATTCTATTGCTGATTCTAGTTGTATTAACTTCTATCTGTCTGATGTCCTGAATTTATTTAATGAGCTGCATTATTATTACCAGCTAATGAAGTCTCAATATTAATATAGTTATTAAGCAGTCCACCGATACTCTAATTTTATCTTTGAGTTTGAGCTGTGTGAGCAAGAAGTATATTGTTATTTCTAGAGTTCGAAGGTTTTGGAATTTAATGATTATTAGAATGTCTGGAAGAAGAATTTATTGTTGTGATGCTCTTCACACTTGAGCGTTCACTCTCTGATGATGACGGATTTTACTAATGGTTGATTATTCTTTATAAAAATTATTGATGAGTAGTTCCTGTATCATATCCAAAATTTTACTATGAAAACTGTCTAGATAGACCAAGAGAAGTTTAGCCACTTAGAAGGTTTCTTGAATTTCCCCCTTAGCCTAAATTATTCAAATCTTTTTTTATGGATTATATATTGACGTAGCCCCCAGGAGCCTCAGTCGTTGAGTTGCTTTTTTAAATAGGTAGTTAAGAATCTCTTTCTTAAGAGCCGTTAGACAGAATTTAGCAGTGATTTCCGATTCCTCGCAAGTTGTTCGTCATTCTCTTCTAAAGTTCCCTTGATTGCTAAAGATTTATATCAGGCATATTATTATCACCTGAGAGATTAATCATGTCAAAGGAATCAGCCTCTTCTTAAATTTGTATATTAGTATTATACTTATTACATTAGTTCGAAGTTGAGACAGCTGTACCGACGTAGTCTCTTTTGTCCTCAAACTTCAAATTATTGGAGCCAACCATCACATTTTATGCACAACTACCAAGTCCCTCATTTGAGTCTCTTCTGCTCTTTGCATTATTCTTGCCGATTTTAGCATTTACAAGATTAGATATTTATTTATTGTTTAGTTATGGTTATTACGAAGGAGTAGTTGTAATGCCATTTTAGCTGCTGAGTGGCTTAATCGTGTTGGAAAAGTTAGAAAGCTCTCTCATTAGCTCGGGGATATTTTGGAGAGATTGAGAGTAGCCGCCGCCTCCACCAGTAGTAGCTTGACTTGGAGAACTCAACATGTTATATTCGTGAGCTTTACTAGATTTCAAATCTGTCCTGCTTATATTTCTAAGATTGCATTCAATATATTTTCTTATATATTTTTCTTCTTCTTAGAATGGATTACCCTCAATGCAGATGGATTCCAATTGTTCCAGCCTACTTAGAAAGCCAAGTTCTTGCACCGACTATATCTAATTATGCTATATCTTGAGCTTGCTTAGTGCTCTAAATTGCTCTATGTTTTGAAGACTCTGAAGTTTATTATTGGATAAATCTAGTTCAAGAACTTAGTTTGCAATTCTTGGATCGATAAAGTCGATAAGTTGGATGCCCATATTTTACAGTGAGAGATTTCTTAGGGTCCCTTAGAAGGCCATACTATTAAGTGAGAGCAGAGCATGAGAAAGTGCTACAGGTTGCTTTAGAGGTGACTTGTTTCGCTTTAAGGTTTTTTCTTAGGCCTGGGTAGAACTAATCTGTTAATATTTCTTCATTTTAATATTTGAAATATATGATTTTATTTTATCACTTCTCAAATTCAACACAATGTTTGCCTGCTGGGGTTTTGGGGTTTTGGGGTTTTGGGG